GACTTGATTTAGGTATACGATTTTCCATATGAAAAATAAATATTCTGACGAAATTTCAGCCATTGTTTTCTGGCTAGTTTTCGAGTTAGCACAATGCCAACTGCAAACTCTGACGTGACCGTACGCGCAGTATAAGCGTGCGATAGCTGAATTTGAAATCTTTAGCTCCTACATGCACAGAGAATATCCCTGTAAAGTTTCAGCTTCCTATCTTGTCTGATTCGCGGAACCATTTTCGCCAAAGAAATTTGCATATTTTTTCGAGGGTCTGTACGCGAGATCTATGCGCGTGTAAGCGAAGATTTTAAGATGTGAGGGTGACACACCGGGTGGGAATATGCCCTCAAAATTTCAGCCTCCCAGCTTTCCTAGTTGCTGAGTTGAAAGTGGGTGTCAACGTCCACTCGCTTCCAAACAAATATACAAATACATACATAAATACACACACACAGACACACACGGATGACCTCTCGACAATATGCGTTTTTGCCCACTGTAATAGCGCTCGAGCGCTGCGCAGCAAAACTGCATAAAAATATCAGTCTATTCTTAGAATTTATAATAATTTTATCACGTTCTCAGTTCATATTATGATATTCTAAAACTCCTTTCCTTTTACTGCCTTTTCTTAATTCTATTTTACATAGAGCTTAAATGTGAAGCATAGGTGGCCTATATTTTTGTTATCTACCGCATTAGCACTTCCTCGGTTCTTACGTTTTTCTAATTCTCAGCTATTTCTCTGTTTCTTTATCTAACGTAAATTTTATTCTCACATGTATTTCTGTGGTAATATCCGCTAAAAAAAAAGGAAGCAGTCGCAGTGGAGGGGTCGATCCCGAATAAAACATTAAACAGAAACATTAAAAAAAAGATTAACAAACTCTAACAATTCACAGTACTATTCTAAGCATAAAAACATTTGTCGAATAGACACATCACGCTTTACAATTGCTGCGAATCGCAATAGAGTTGGCCTTGCTAAAGCAAAAAAAAACATCTATCACCACAGGATGGTTCCAGACACTTCGTATCATCATTCTTTGAAGGAACGTCAGGACAGCTGAGCAAACTATCTAAATAACACTGAATGGAATATCTAAATTTCAGCAGAAGCTGAAGCGAACTTCAATTTCGACGTAATCTGTTCACCCAATCATGCCTGTTTCAACTATCCCTCGGCTTTTTCTTTGGATTTACAATTCTGTATTTTTTGGAGTAACTACAATTCCGCATTTTTTGGAATCAAAATTCAGCATTTTTTTTTGGAAACACTGCTTATAGAAGCCCTCTACTTTCCTCGTACTGTGATCTTAATGCATTTTTGGACGTATTTTTCATTTTCCTTGTGAAATTTCGCAAAATTTTCAATCAAATTTTACTTCCCTAAACTAATTTCCATGTTTTCCTTCTCACACTGGGATTCTGATGTTTCCAACAACTTTCAGCTTGTCGTCAAGAAAAAACATCACTAACAGTTATTTACCTTGAACACTCAGAACAGCGAACAATTTCATGGTCTGGTGACATCTCAAGCGCTTTTAAAAGACACTGCAGCGCCTGGCAGTCAACTTGCTGGCGTTTTTTATATATCTTTTGGTTTCTCTGGAAATTATCCAGCTATTCAACGAACCTCCCAAACTACCATAAGCCACTAACAGTTCAACTAATCCGGTTATGCCAGTAAGTTAAACAACAAAATAAATTTTTATGAGCAAAAAAGAAAAACTCAAGTTAGACACATAACAAAAACCTATGAAGAGCACTAAAACGAATAAATACAATACGACTTGAAAACAAGAAGAACCGTGTGATCATGGCGT